CCCACCACACTCCCCCCCCCCTTCCTCCCCACATGGCCCACGTGTGTGAAATTCCACTTCTCGAAACAGGAATGTTTGTGTGTGTGTGTGAGCGTGTGTGAAAACAGGTGCGGATGCGCCGTCCGTTTCGTGACGGCGTGCTTCTGAGCGAGGGGTCATGTGGGGTGGCGGCCGTGGGGGTCGTGGGGGTCCCGACACCCCCACCCTCCCTCAACCAACACGCCTACTTGTCCATAACAGAGGTTTTTGGGTTAGATCGTGTGAATACAAATGTGTTGTTAAACCCGTCGTGAAACAACACGTTTATATTTACGCGATATAACCCAAAAAATGTCTAGTTATGTCGAAAGAGACCCACCACCCCCCCGTTCCCCCCACGACACTTTGGTCGACGAAAAACAATGCTGCCCTTGCTGAGTTTGCGCGTTTCTCCCTTCCGCCAGGCGACTTAGACGCCGATTGCCCTGCAACCACAGCAGCTCACGGATGGCCGGCAGCCAACAGTTGCGTAGATATCATCACCCTGAATTTCCCAGACCCTTTGTGTAGTCTACCCAGGAACCCCCCCCCCACCCTGCCCCCCACCCAGCCCCCCACGCCCCCCACTTCCCCCCCCCCCCCACCTGCTTCTAGCAGAGCATTCCGGCCTTGCGCAGGCTCATGGCAACTAGTTTCGGAAAGCGGCCCGCAACACCATTGCCACCTTCCTCAGTGGCTTGAGCCAACGGCCCTTCCTTGTCCCGCCGGCCTCGGGAGCTACCGCAGGCTGACCGGCCAGTCGTTGTGAAGCCAAGAGCAAAGAGATAAGGTGCAGGGGTGCAGCCCCTGCAAGCGCTTGCTTGCGCCACAGTGTGGCCACAATGTGGCCGCGGCGCCTCCCACGCCAGAGAGGAGGGGAGGGAGGGAGCCCTTTGGGAGGCCTTTGGGAGGCCTTTGAGGGCCCTTTGGGAGCCCTTTGGGAGGCCTTTGGGAGGCCTTTGAGGGCCCTTTGGGAGCCCTTTGGGAGCCCTTTGGGAGGCCTTTGGGAGGCCTTTGAGGGCCCTTTGGGAGCCCTTTGGGAGCCCTTTGGGAGCCCTTTGGGAGGCCTTTGGGAGCCTTTGGGAGCCCTTTGGGAGCCCTTTGGGAGCCCTTTGGGAGGCCTTTGGGAGGCCTTTGAGGGCCTTTGGGAGCCCTTTGGGAGCCCTTTGGGAGGCCTTTGGGAGGCCTTTGGGGGGCCTTTGGGAGGCCTTTGGGAGCCCTTTGGGAGCCCTTTGGGAGCCCTTTGGGAGGCCTTTGAGGGCCCTTTGGGAGCCCTTTGGGAGGCTGTCTGGGGGCACGGTATTTTGGCCGGCTCTTGCACGGCAGCCAAGACCGTCTTGGAAGAGGCGAGGGAGTTGCCAACGCTTCACCCCGCCACCACACGCGACCCGCCGATCGACCGCTGGGGTGGGCAAAAAGGCCGTTGGAGGTGGTCGGTGTTGATTTAAGACAATGGCTCCCGTTTGCTTCAACTGTCTTGCCCGGGGGGGGGGGGTCAAATTGAACCGGCGACCTCTGCGTTGACGACTTGTGTGAGACGCCCAGCCCAGCGTGTCTCTCAGCGCTTTGGCCGATCGCCATTTCCTGCTTCTGTAGCGGTCAGAAGGCGCAGCGCACTCCGTCACGGAATGCGTGCCCATAAATGACCATAGCGGGGACAGCTAAACAGCCGTGCTGTAGGCGGCTTAATTGCGTCGAGGTCCTTTGACGTACAGCGCCAGAATGCGAAATAACTCGCTGAAATGCGGTATTGACCGCCGTGTAAATTTTAATTTGCCAGGGCTAGGGAAAATATGGTTTATGGGGCAGATCGAAGCCAAGGGCAATTTCGTTTTTTACGACTGCAACAGCTGCTGCTGCTGCTGGTGGTGGTGCTGGTGATTGTCCAATATTGCGTCTGTTGACAGGGAACCGTGAATTCTGGTGACATTGTGCATCTTGTGTTTCTACTTTCAACAGTGGCCATGCTTTCAAACAAAAAAATATCTCGCCAAACAAGGGTACGAAACATTTCGTCTGCGGTCAAGAGGTTTTAGCAGCGATAAAACAAAAATCGGCGAGCAAAACCTTTTTTACGGAACGGTTATTTTTAAACTGATTTTGGGGAAAACCACAATTTTGGAAATTGTAAAATAACAAATTTTTTTTTTACAAAAAATGGAGGAGGCGCCGCTGCTGCTGCTGCAGCCACGACAGTGGTGCATCGGTTATGGCAGAGCGCTGGACTTGCAAACCAGAGGTGCGTGGGTTCGATCCCATCTCTGGGCATCGCAGTTGAAACGCCGTTGCAAATTTCCTTTGCAGACCTCCACCACCACCCGGAATGAGAATCTGTATTTCGATCAGCTATAAAGCTCTTTCACAGATGTCAAGTAGGGGCACGGGGTCACAACATTACAACAACAAACAATACCAACACACGATCGGAGTGCAAAGTATAGGAAAAGTGAACAAAATCACTTGAACAACAAATATATCCAAATAAAACTACGTTATTTTTTATCTTACCAGGTAAAGCCCACTGAGCTATTAACTTATTTTTCCAGATATGACTTGGCCACAAATGATAGCTCAACAAAGTGGCTTGTCACGTGGAAACGTTCACCTGTTAGTCTAGAATCGGCAGGCTGCGTGCGGTTGGGGTAAAGTTTGGGTACTCCCACGACAGCCAAGACATTGGCCAGTGTGGAAGAGTAGGCCAAAAACTCTCCTCCAGTGCTGGGGAGCTCTGGAGTACACCCTCTGCCAAGCGCGGAGGCTTTTTTGCAGGGCTGCGTCTTTGCCACCTTTCGTTAAAACAACCGGGCAGACCGATAAGGCTGCGTGGTGGAACCGTGTGCCAGTCGGTGTGCTGTGGGTGGACTGCTTCCCATACATGGGTAACTGCCCCTTGCGGGACTTTGCCCATATTTGGGCTTCTGCTGGGCTACGTTTCCTAAAGGGCGGTTGGTTTTTTGGAGTGCGAGGGTGTGCTCGTGTGCGTTTGTGCGAAGTCTGGCGAGCGATGGAGTGTAGCGGATAGCGCGCGCGGCTACCCGAGTCCGATTCACGCTCGCGGCGACGATTATCTGGACCGGTCCTGGGCCTCCCCCTAGGTCGACTCGGCCTCAAATGAGTACCGGGTGCGGTGTGTAAACAGGGCGTGGTGCTGGCCACCCACCCCCTCGTGCGCCGTGCCATCTTTCATAGGTGCTTCTCGCTAACAGAACTTGCCCCAAAAAGTCTGTTCAGGCTACACGGGGGTGGGGGAGGGGCGGTGATCTTTGTCTTGTGTAGTCTGCCCCCCTGCGCGGGGCCTGTACGTTGTTGTTGGCTGCGGTGGTAGCAGAGGTCGCAAACGGGTTTTGATTCCTTACCCGTACCCGTCCGCACCAGGGTCGCAAATGGATACCCGTACCCAGCCGGGTACGGGTACTCGTTCCCTACCCGTAACCTACCCGAAATGAGTGACAAACGGTGACTCACCAGTGACTCACGGCCTACCCGTACCCGGCCGCACCAGGGTCGCAAACGGCTACCCGTACCCGGCCGGGTACGGGTAGCCGGGTATTGGGTAGGGTACGGGTATCGGGTACCCGATTGCGACGTCTGGGTGGTAGATTCAGTCAGCATTTTCAGTCGGCATTTTTTCTCGTACTATTCGGCCAAAGAGCTTCCCTACAGTCGAGACGGACAAGCGGCATTAGCCCGGTCGGCGAAACGTGCGCGCAGGCTGGAAACGAGGGTAAATGATACCCCGGCGAGTGCTGATTTGAAGAGAGCAGGCGGTGGTGCAACTGTGACCGGGTTTAATTCACTCGGCAGCTTTAGTTTCGGTCGGAGTTTCGGTCGAAGCGAAGATAAACTGTGGAGTCTTTTAGTGGCTTTCATTCGGTCATTTTCTAAGTCTGGTCAACCAAAGCAGTCCAGAGCTTAGTCGAACATATTTAACCTGGTAGACATGCCAACGTTCAACCAACGTTGGAATTTGGTTTGAAACGTCGGGCTCACTTTTGAATGTGGTTGGAACTGTCGGTTAAAATGGTTTGCCCAACGTTCTATGCTCACTGGGCAGTTATGAAATGTTGATGTCAGGGGGTGTCCAATATTTCACACACCCCTCCGCCATTATAAGCAGAATATCTTCACCCCCCATCATATAAATGTGGAATTTCCACCACCGGCTCAGAATGGCTGTGAACGGGAGATGAGCACCCTCGATCCTCATTTGTGCGGCAGGAGATGACTTTGTGCCTTTTGTTTCGGTATACCGAACTCTTATCTGTGGCCCTATTATCCGCAACTCCTCTAATCCGCAATTATATTGCGGATAAGGGGAGTTGCGCGGCAAATTCATCCCATTATCCCGGGGGTGAGGGGTGGGGGGATATCCGGAAATGTTTGCCCTGCGGATGAACGGAGTAAAAATTGCAGATCATAGGATGAGCCACAATATCGCTCCCCCATGTCACCGCTGATAAGAGTATCCCACACACACATGTACAGTACAGGCAGTCCCCGGCTTACGGACGTCCTACTTCTGAACATCCGCGTTTCCGAAACGGGCTTCCATAAAATATTTTATTTTTTAACCATCCCACTTGCGGACCTAGCCTCTGAACTATTTACTGCGTTGCGTGCGAACGTACGACATCGCTCGTTATTTACGGGTTTAACAATGCTTCCCCTTTTTTTTCTTGAGCCCTCGCCCATTTTATAGCAGGCACTCCGTGGATTTACCGCATGTCGATTTAAATACGGCACGTAAGTTTGTTCCGACTTACGAACCGTTCGACTTACGAATGGCTAACGGGAACTGAACCTATTCGTAAGTCGAGGACTCGTGACCGGCTCTCGGGAACTGGCCCCGTTCGTAAGTCGGGGACTCTCCATGCTCTGAGGTCCTTGATGTTCCGTAAATCCGGGATGTGGCTCCTGGCCCTGGCTACCGCGTGTTTGACTTTAGACCTGCCCGCCCGCCCGCTCGCTCGCTCTCCCGCCAGATCAAGAAGCAGCAGCAGGACGTGCTGGGCTTCCTGCAGGTGAACAAGATCGAGTTCGAGGAGTGCGACATCGTCGTGAGCGACGACAACAAGCGCTACATGCGCGAGCACGTGCCGCGCGACCACTGCCCCACCAGCGGCGTGCCGCTGCCTCCGCAGATCTTCAACGGCGAGTCCTACCTCGGGGTGAGTGTGCGTGTGTCCAGAATCTGGACACGTTCGCATCGGTTGAGCTCCTCCGGCAGGCAAGGTTGCATTGGCCGGGTCATGTAGCCCGCATGCCCAGCCACCGGATGCTCAAGCAGCTTCTGTTTGGCCGGATAGAGGGGGCTAAACAGGCACGACACGGGCTGGAGAAGAGATGGACTGATGTGGTACGGGAAAATATGGAGCGGACTCGACTTGCCGATGACCGGTACCAGCGGTGTCAAGATCGGCCTCTGTGGAGGAGGCTCGTGAAAGACGCTGCTGGGCAGTTGGAGGCAGTCGCCCTCCAACAACAACGGAGGGCAGAGGAGCGACGCTCACAACAACGAGCGGAGCGCCGGGTGGCTAAAGCACAACAAGTTGGCGCAGTAGGGGGCACAGGTGGTGCATCAGACAGTCTTCTCAGTCAGTCGACCCGTGGCACCTGGGTCTGCCCCGTGACTTCCTGCCAGCGGGCGTTTGACACTTCACGTGGCCTCAAGGTGCACATAGCCTGGCACAAGCGTCGTGATATCACCATCACTTAGTGGCGAATGGTGGGTGGGTGGGTGGGTGAGTGGGTGGGTGGGTGGGTGGGTGGGTGGGTGGGTGGGTGAGTGAGTGGGTGGGTGGGTGGGTGGGTGAGTGGGTGGGTGGGCGAGTGAGCGGGTGGGCGGGCGAGTGGGCGGGCGGGCGGGCGGGCGGATGAGCGGGCGGGCGGGCGGATGAGCGGGCGGGCGGGCGGATGAGCGGGTGGGTGGGTGAGTGGGTGGGTGGGTGGGTGCGTGGGTGGGTGGCTGTGCACTTGGCAGCCACTTGTAAACCCAGCACTGCGGACGCAGCAGCGATGGGTTGGTGGACCGCCGCACGGATCTTGTGAAACTGCCTTCCCGTGAGAGTCGAGAACGAGGCCCTTTACCGGGGTTTCTGCCGGGAGAAGGCGTCACAGCAGGAACGTGGACTACTTCTGTCCCGATAAACACCTGAACATATAGAGGACCGCAGAGCTTGGGCGATTGTTGGTAGCGCCGGCTCCTCATTGAGTCGCTGCTGCTGCTGCCTTCCCACTCCCCGTCTGTGGTTCCTCCCGAGTCTCTCCCGAGTCTCTCTCTCTGGATACTCTGCGACGACGACGGCCGAAGGCGCGGCGTAAACGCGGCAGACATTGTAATAGCAATCATTTCTCATTATTATTTATGTAACGAGCGAGCGGAAGACTGGGCGCGGTTCCGCTTCGGACGTTATAAATCAAAACAAAACAAACAGACCACGCCAGGGTTCCACGCTGTTGAGTGCTTTCCCGTTCGTTCGTCCCCACCACCACCACACCCCCCCCCCACCACCCCCCACCACCCCCCCCCCCACCACCCCCCCCCAACACCCCCCCACCACCGCCACCACACCCCCCCACCACCCCCCCCCACCACCCCCCCACCCCCCCAACCACCCCCCCACCACCCCCCCAACACCTCTCGAGAGATTTGCTCCGGCGCTGTCTGTTTCAGGACTACGAGTCGTTCTTCGACGCCAAGGAGAACAACGCCGTGTTCACGTTCCTCGGCCTCACTCCCCCGCCCGGTTCAAAGGTCAGCGAGCGTGCGGGCACACAAACCAAACCCGCACCACCGCCACCGCGCGAGTTGTTGTCATTGTCGTCATCGTCATCGTTGTCGTCGTCATCATTGTCGTCATCATTGTCATCGTTGTCAGCGTCGTCGTCGTCGTTGTCGTCGTCGTCTTCATCGTCATCATTGTCGTCATCATTGTCGTCATCATTGTCATCATCATTGTCATTAGCGTCGTCATTGTCATCGTCGTCGTCTTCGTCGTCATTATTGTCGTCATCATTGTCGTCATCATTGTCGTCGTCGTCATTGTCGTCGTCACCGACGTCATCATCATTGTCATCATCATCGACGTCATCATCGTTGTCATCATCGTCGTCATTGTCGTCATCTATTTTAAACGGCAAACGGTGGGGGGCTGTATTGCATGAACCCAAGGCTCTAGGGCAGCAGGTGAGCCAGCCAGGTTGGCGGGGGCAGTCAGAGACTGAGCACATCCGGTGCCACCGAGATCTGGGGGCGGGAGGGAGGGGGGTGCAGGTGCAGGGGGGTGTGGGCATCATCCAGCAGTGGATTGATCTCGGCTTGTGGCAGCGGTGGTGGTGGTGACGGTGGTGGTGGTGGTGGTGGTGTATTTTCAGGAGGCAGAGGCTCTGGCTCGGCAGTAGCCGTGGACGGGGTCTGGTGCCCCCGCTGGGAGCTGCTCCACATTCCCTCGCGGCTTCCGGCGGAAGATTCCTCGGGGGAATCCTCCGGCATTCCGCACAGAAGAAACCCAGACGGAATTCCTCATGGAACAAGAAAATCCCCACCCTTCTTTTTGATCCTCTGTAAGGATTTCGTTGTTTTGTTGTTGTTGTTGTTGTTGCCGTTGTCGTCGTCGTTGTTGTTGTTGCAAGTTTACCCGTGCTAATATATTTAACGAGCAAATGACAAACGTTTTGTACGCGCGCGCGCGCGCGCGCGTTCACCTGTAATACACACACGCGCACACGCTCGCACACACTCAACGCTTGTCACCGTGACAGCTCCTTCGCCAAGAGACGAAACGTCTCCCGTGTAGCCATACAGAAGATTGAGCAAACTGCTGTTCGTAAGGTAGCGAGTCGCGAGCACCTATGGAGGCCGGCACAGCGCACGAGGTGGTGGCGTTGTGGCCGGCACCACGCCCGGCCGCATTAACCGCTCGTGTTTACACACTGCACCAAGGTACTCTTCTTTTTGTTTAAAGGTTGAATTGACGTAGGGGAGGCCCAGGTCAACCGTGGCCAGAACTCGAACTCGGGATGCCAAGTCCATATCGCAGTGCCCTCTCCGTGAGGCTACCACTCCACCCACGTGACCATACGCAGAACGCTCATATTTCCTACACAGACTACTGGGACAATTCCTGTTCGGGACTACAAAGATAAAAGACAAAGATCTCCCGTATAGCCTTCACAGACTTTTGGGGCGAGTGCTATTAGCGAATAGCATCGATGAAGGCCGGCACGGCACGTGAGCGAGTGGGGGGCCAGCACCACGCCCGGCTGCCTTTGTCTCCTTAGTGCCGATGTGTGTACACCACACCCAGGTACTCAACGAAGCTAGTGGGGAGGCCAAGCACCTGTTTAGATAATCATCACTCGTGTTGGCCACGAGCGGGAATCGAACTCGTGTCACCGGGTTCATAGCGCAGCGCGCTAACCACTTCGTCGACACACACACGCACATTGTGAAATGTTCACCAACGTCAGATTAACGCGCAGGCTTTCGCGACCAACAGCTACCATCGTCAGGTGTCAGCCACATTTGTGTTTCACCGATGCCTTGACGCTTGTGTTGTTTGTTCGAGGCTGTCGGCGCCATCGGTTAGTCAACGGCGAAGCCGCGAGTCTCGGCAGCGCAGTCCCATTCGTTCATTGGCCCCCACACGCCACGGCTATCTCCGAGATACGCAGCAATGAGCGGTGGCGTACAGATACGAGACAACGATTGCCCCCGTATAGCCTTGACACTGTCGGGGCACGTGCTGTTAGCGAGCTGCTCCTATGAAGGCCGGCACCATGCACCCTCCGCCCCACCACCTTTTGTTTCCCGAGTGGCGATGTTTGCAGATTGCACCAGGTACGCGTTTGAGTCCGAGTCAACCCATGGGAGGGCCCAGGACCGGTTCAGATAATCGTCAATCTCAGACGCACGGCTCAAGCACACGGAATGAGATGGGGAAGCTCAATAATTTAAAGTAAAAAAAAAACCCCATTAAACTGACTTCTGCACCTCTTTCGGTTAAATTCCATTTCCGAGAATTCGAATTACGTAGTTTGACCGCCATGCCACGGACATTACTCCCGGTGCCAAATCGCGTGGCAGAGTGCTGCCCGCCGATGGGCGGGAGCAGAAGTCACCTGACGGTGATCTCGGAAGTAGTTCTGCGATGTCCCCTTCCCTGGGCCGTTCGTCTGATATCGAGTTTGCACTGCCCTGGACGCGTCATCGCGCGACGTGGATGCCGACGGCATGACTGAGATAAAATTGGGGGGGGGGGGGGGGGGGGGAGTTTTTTGAAGTCCATATGAGATGCCAATGCTCTCCACGAACTTAATGTCCTGGGCTTCTCCGTTCCTCACCGATCGATGCCTCCGTTTCGATCTGTAAGACTGCTTCCGTGTAAATTGCAAAGGGGGGGAGGGGGGCCGGTTTGGGGAGGTTGACCCCAGGGGGTCACAAGTAAAATCCGGTCCACATTTTTCGCAGGCCGTTCGAGACTCACGGGAGACTCCGAATCCTTGGCACGCCGTGCACCCCCCACGCCACCCCGCCCCCCCCCTGGGGCATTGGAACCGTGTTTTAGGGGGGGGGGGAACAAAACCGTGCGCTGGATCGAAATTCGAGGGGAACCCGGAGTCTCGGCTGAACTCCTCCCAAAAAATATTTGCACGAAAAAATACATTCCGCTCACGATTTAAGCGAACAGCTGTTAGATGGATTCTTCTTTTGGATGGGAGGGGGGTGTTTTTTTTCTTCGTCACAAATTCTCTTTGCTCGTTGGTTTTTTTTCTTGGGGGGAGGGGGGGAGTAGTCCAGATCCCCCCAGATGAAGTCATTTCCCCTTCCTGTCAAGCCCCCCCCCCCCCCCCCCAGACTCCGCTTTAAACGTTGCACAGACCGCTCGCTCGCTCGCTCGCTCTGACCCTGTAGGACCCACCCCAGGATCTGCCTGCGTCACTGCCACGTCGTGGTAGCGTGTGGACCTCCAAGACGACTTAATGCGTTCCTTGTGTGTGCGCGCGCCCCACGAAGGCATACAGCAACTATATGTGTACCGTGTCATAATACCCGAATCTGTGGCGTTTGATCACGTGAGGAATTGGCGTTTGCCGAGAGGAGTAACGGTTTGGCGAGATGTGCACAAGTCGTGAATTAAACGTGGCCATAATGAAATGTTGATAGGTGAGCGTGGGGGGAGGGGGGGCTTTAATGTTTGTGTTACGCTGCTGTTTAAATTTCGCTCGTTGGCAATTCGCGAAAACTTTCGAGCACGCGGTTCCAAAAACGACGCCGTGCTCGCACGCACACAGGCAAATATCCCCCCCCCCCTGCCCCCCTGCCCCCCTCTTGGGGCAAGTGCTGTTAGCGAGCACCTATGAAGGCTGGCACGACACACGACGGAGTGAGTGGCCAACACCACGTCCGGCCGCCTTTGTCTCCCAAGTGGCGATGTTTACACACCGCACCAGGTACTCATTTGACGTTGAGTTGACCTCGGGGAGGCCCAGGACGGGTTTAGATAATCGCCACTGTTGTTGGCCGTTAGCTGGAATCGAACTCGGCTTGCCGGGTTCGTAGAACAGCGCGCTAACCACTCCACCACTGCTCACCCACCACTCCACCACTGCTCACCCACCACACACACGCGCGCACACACGTGCGCGCACCATACAGACACGCGCGCGTGGCATGTGCATACGGTAACTCACAACGATAACGCGTCGTGGAAGCAAATCACAAATTCGCCGAGGTTGATCGTAACCGCCAGCCAAACTGATGCGTCTCTAAATTACAATCCAGAGTTGAGAATTCGCGCGGCGGAAACCTCAACGCAGCATCTTGGACATCGACTTGGCGAACTTATCATTCCTCGCGTCTCCTATTACTCTTGTTATTTCTGCCCGTGAAACGTTCTATCGTTCGTGAGCGGCGTTGTCTTATATGGCCTAACAAATAACTGTGATTTCTGTCTGTGTGCAAGAGTAATCCGTGTTGGTATTATTAGTGTTACTATTGCGTGCGGTCTACTTTGTTCGTGGAGGAAAGTGACTCCCGTAGAGGAGGATGCAAATCGCTTTGCCCCCAGCTCCGAATATATCGAGTTCATTTTGTTTGACCCCCCAGCTGAGAACCCTGAAAAAGAGACCAGGTTAGCCAGGAGGGGATAGAGGTGATGGATAATGATTGCTGCGTACGATCCCAATCGAGCAATTTGCGGTGTCATCTTCAGAAGACTGTTTGGCAAATGTGCACCCTGACGCCGGCACACAGCAGCGAGTGGCGCTCACTCCTGCGAATTACGTCCGATAATCTTTTTTTTTAAATCCTTTATATTAAGTTCACTTGCTTGCGCGCTTACGACCGTGCAAATCTTTCGGTCGTTTTTTAACCCACTTCCCGTGATCCAATCGAGCTGACATTTTCCACACAGACTCGTTGTGCGTGACAATTTATTTTCGTGAAAATTTTTTTCCATAAATTTACACTTTTTAGGAATTTTTTTTTATATTTAATTACCAATTGCTGAATGGTGGCAGGCAATCATCTGACCCATAGGTGGCAGCCATCTCAAGCCAGAGGACGAGAGGACTCTAGCCGCCACGCATATAAAGGATTTATAGTGAAAAACTTTTTTTTACGGGTTAATTTTTTAACGTCCAAAAGCGATGGCAAAGGGGAGCATCATTGTCGGATTGGATGGTTGTCACACTCGACTCTACGACCGAGCGGAGGTCACCGGGGTTCGATCCTCCGACACCGCGGTTGAAACAACGGCGCAAGTTTTTTTTATTTCTTCAAATCCCAACCACCCACTGCTCGTGGTCCTCCCGGCAGAGGTTGCCACGGTGGCCAGGAGATGTTAACTACCTCGCCTGGTATACAGGAGGTCGTGGGTTAGATCCCGAACCTGACGCCTGCTGCTGTGTATTTTGAGTATGCCTCTCTCCTCGTGGTCGCGTGGATTCTTCCCTGGGTCCTCTGCTTTTTCCCCTCCACGTTCAGAATCGACATCACGCGTTTGAGATAATTGGGCTGCTAAAATTTCCACGCGATGATGATGCTGAGCTGTCATTTGTGGCCAGGTCGCTTCCGGAAAAAGAGCCGCATAGCTCATTGGGCCTTATCTGGCATAATAAAAAAAATTAACCCGTAAAAACAAAGTTTTTCACTCAATCCTTTATATGCGTGGCGGCTAGAGTCCTCTCGTCCTCTGGCTTGAGATGGCTGTCACCTATGGGTCAGATGATTGTCTGCCAGCATTAAGCAATTGGTAACTAAATATTTTTAAAAAATTCCCTAAACAGTGTAATAGTTTGGAAAAAAATTTGTCACGAAAATGAATTGTCACGCACAACGAGTCTGTGTGGAAAATGTCAGCTCGATTGGATCACGGGAAGTGGGTTTAAAAAACGACCGAAAGATTTGCACGGTCGTAAGCAAGCAAGCAAGCGAACTTAATATAAAGGATTTAAAAATAGATAACTAAATAAAATGTATACAACCGCAGTTGGTCGATTGGCAAGGTCACATTTGGTGGGATAAAGCGTGGGGTACTCTCCTCCCCACCTCTGTCGAGACCACCGGCTGTGGAAGCATTGTCCACGAAGCGGACAATGCTCCCTACGTGCCAGGGAGCCATGGTGAATCGGTGCCTTCCTGCTGTTTGTGAGCAGCGCGCCTTTGTTGTTGTTCAACCTCCTCCCACCTCTTCAGTGTGCAAGGGTGTCGGACGAAGTGCCACCTCGAAGCGGGGCTTCATAGCGCTTCCTCTCGTGGAGAGGGCCGCCGCCCCCTTCCGCCAGCAGTAGCTTGGAGCAGGGAATTCGCAGGGCTGCACCTTTGACTTTTTATGGGGGGTCTTTTTTTATATCTAAACTTTGCGTATGTGGAGTTTGATGAGGCGGTGTCGTTTATCTCTCGCAGTTTAGTGCAAGAACCCGTTGCTTCGTACACCTGTCCTCTCCAATTAGGTACACGGTTGGCTACGTACGGTGCGAAAGAAGTTGAACATGCGTGCATTCTTGCTTGGTCTTCCAAGTCCGCAGAAACGCTTGGCGGTTAAACACTCGTCACTCGCAGGAGAAGGGGAAGAAATGTACAGGGCGCTTCAAAATTATTTTAACAATTCTATGGGACGATCGTTTTTTATGTAAAAAGAACGGATAATACACTGCAACATGATAACACATGTGATGGTAATAGCATAAAAAAGTCAAAGAGTCTCCCACAATTCTTAAAGCTTCCGTGACTGCAGGAATTCATATTCTTTGGGTCTTTAGGTAAAGTCACGTAGATAGGTTCAAAGAAAATAACAAAAAACTACGACGTTTCGATCGCAACACAAGCGGCCGCCTTTAGGAAAAACGACGTATTTTTTTGTTATTTTCGTTCAACCTATCTACGTGACTTTACCGAAAGACCCCCAGAAAAACCTCCCACTTGTTCGCCGTCGTTGTCAACGCGTGAATCTTCTCCAGGTGGTCTCCAGAGCCCCAGGGAGGCAGCACTTTTCTCGTGATGTTGTCGCAAAGTGTTAAAAACCAAACAATTTGTGTTGCCCCCAGTGTACATGTATCATGAGATTTCATTTCGGCCGGCTCCCGCAAGGTCAACGTTCGGACCGCCAAATCCTACGGCCGTCACTTTCCTCCTCCGTGAAAGCGGTCGCAGCGCGCATTTTCCCAATTGTCCATCGCCTTCGCTTAACCGCCTTAATTTTTTGTGCCAAATTTTTTTTTCAATGCAAAAAAAGCGAACTTCCAAGATGTCAAGTTTTAATTGCTCGCGCCAGCCACCTTTTAACCGCCGCGTAGGGGCTTATCGACTAAAACCTGCCGTGTGCTTTTCCCCAGGAGCCGTGTCGTGGCTGCATCGTTAGCGCAAGAGGTTTTTTTTGGGGGCCCTCTCACGCCGCTGCGTCGCCGCTCCGTGTGTTGTTCGTAGTCCCGGGCGACGTCTCGCCCGACGTTTCGCACCGCGTCCCTTGCGGACGAGGCTTTCTCGCGGTTCCGCGAAGATGCAGCGTCCGGCACGCGGTCGCGAAACGTCGGGACGGTCACCCCCGAACGACGTCGCGTTTGGTGTGTTGTTGTTGTTGTTGTTTTTGTTGTTATGGTTGTGTACATTTAATGCACAAACTAGCTTTTTTTTAAGTTTGTCTTATGCTTTTGTACTCATCACGTTATTATTTTTTATATATATGCAGCGCGCTCATAAGCTCTTATCGGTGAAACATGCCGTGTTTTGTTTTTTTATTTCGATGGAGGGGGGTGGGAGTTTCATCCCTTAAAGTGTCAAACAAAGCGGTTTCGGCGAGGAGTTCATTAAATTCCATCCACGTTGAGAGGACATCGACCCTGCCCCCCCCCCCCCTGCCCCCCCCCTCTGCCCCCCTCTGCCCCCCACATAGAGCACCCTGAACCTGTCTCCTCGTTGTTGCCGGAGTGCCTGTACCGAATAAACTTTGCCAAGAGGTGCACGCGACGCCTTCACGGAATCTCATCTCGCGTGGATGTGTCGATTGTCGAATCGGAATCTTTTAAATCGTTTATATTAAGTTGACTTGCTTGCTTACGACCGTGCAAATTTTTCGACATTTTGCACACAGACTCGTGCGTGACAATTAATTTTCGTGAAAATTTTTTTCCAAAATTTTACACTGTTTAGGGAAAAAATATTTAATATTTAATTACCAATTGTTTAATGCTGGCAGACAATCATCTGACCCATAGGTGGCAGCCATCTCAAGCCAGAGGACGAGAGGACTCTAGCCGCCACGCATATAAAGGATTTAGAGTGAAAAACTTTGTTTTTACGGGTTAAATTTTTTTTCATCTCTCCTTGGAGGAATCCGATGAGTTCCAAAGCTATTTTTTCACACACTGTCCAGTAGGGGCACGGGATCGGCACGTTACGACAACAAACGGTACACAAATACGATTGGAGTGCAAAGTAGTGGAAAAGGTGAACAAATTACACAAAATATATAGAGGTCGTTTCAGTTTTCGATTTAAAGCTTTCGTGACTGCAGAGATTAATCTTCTTGGTTCCCAATGGGACGCTGTCTTTCCGACAGCTCTGTTTCTTCACCTGAGGACGGCTGCTTGTGTTGTGGCCGAAACGTCGTGATAATTTTCATTTTATTATGTTTTATTTTTATTATTTTATTATTTCCCTTTTACGTGACTTTACCGAAAGAACCAAGAAGAGGTCGTTTTATTCTTTTTCCATGTCGCCAATTACAACATTGCACATCAGATGATAGTGGTTTAGAGATAAAGAGTGAGGTTCTCTAAAGTGGTGATGTAGTCATGGCGAAGGGAGAACAGGCGGGTGGGGTAGGGGTGGTGATGGGGGTAGTTGTGATGGGGGTAGTGATAGGGGTAGCGGTGGTGATGGGGATAGGGGTGGTGATGGGGGTAGTGATGAGGACGCGTGCGCGTCACTCCTGCACTTGCCGTGACCTTTATAAACATATACACTACACTATACACTACACTGTACACTACACTGTACACTACACTGTACACTACTATACACTACATACTACACACTACACTATACACTACACTATACACTACACACTACACTATACACTACGCTATACACTACTATACACTACACTATACACTACTATACACTACTATACACATCCCTATACACTACTATACACTACACTATACACTACTGTACACGACACTATACACTACACTATACACTACACTACCATACACTGCACTATACACTACTATACACTACACTAAAGCCTATTATACACTACACTATACACTACTATACACTACACTATACACTACACTATACACTACTATAGACTACACTATACACTACTATACACTACACTATACACTAATATACACTACACTATACACTACTATACACTACACTATACACTACTATACACTACACTATAAACTACACTATACACTACACACTACTATACACGACACCATACAATACTATACACTACACTATACACTACTGCCTACCTGTCAACCCCTTATCAGTGACCTTATTACAGACCAATTCAAACCTTACTGGTCACCCCGTGCCCCTTATGAATCTCAACGTTCATCCTACAAAGTCCCATCATCACAAGGGAGGAGAAACACAAACAAATTGACAAAAAAACATTTTATTTCTCCCCTCGTATTGAAACGTCTGTACGCCACGTGGACTTGAAACACTCAAATCTCGCTGGACCAAGCCAAGGCACGTTGTGAAACCGTGATGGCTTGACACGGATTGCCCAAAGGGGAGTTCCATCATTGCATACACCACGTAGAGTGTGTGTCGACGAATCAATGAATTGGTGATGTGAGTAAACGTCAAGCTCCACGCAGCCACAAAGCCGTAAGCCCTGCAGTTAAAGGTCGCTCTATTTATATGACAATGCCGCCACCTGCTGGGCAAAGATGACAGCTGCACAAATGTGAAGCCTAGTACAGTAGTAGGTTTTTACCCTTTAAACTGGTACAAAACTGACACCTTTATACAAGGCATCATGTTTGCAATAACCACAACACAAGCAGTCAAAATGCAAACAAAAAGAAACAACTCTGATAATGGTAATCATCTGATCCAACACCAGTGGAGACTAGGCTCTAAGAAAAGCTGTCTCGGGTGTGGACCAATTAACTTCAAGGTACAGTGCATATCATCATCATTATCATCATCAGGCTTGTTAATTTTTGTTTGCATTTTGACCACAGTACTTGTGTTGTGGTTATTGCAAACATGATGCCTTGTATAAAGGTGTCAGTTTTGTACCAGTTTAAAGGGTAAAAAACCTACTACTATATTTTGCCACTGGCAAAGTAGATGTCTCATAGATGTGTAGCATGTTACAGAATGTTTAGGGCAAGTGCTGTTAGCGAGTAGCACATATGAAGGTCGGCCAGCACCACGCCCGGCCGCCTTTGTCTCCCCAGTAGCGATGTTTACTACACACCACACCAAGTGCTCATTTTGAGGCTGAGTCGACCTAAGGGAAGCCCAGGACCGGTTCAGATAATCGTCACTGTGTGTTGTTGGCCGTGAACGGGAATCGAACTCGGGTCACCGGTTTCGTAACGCAGCACCGCGCTAACCGCTGCGCCACCGCTCCCCGCACAGCACACGCACGCCCTCGCTCGCTCGCCTCGACCAATCAGAAGCGGCCGCCGCTGCCCCCCCCCCCCCCCGTTACCGCGGTAACCGTTACCTTGGTAACCGTTGCCCTGGTCACGCGACGCCGTTGCTCGGGACGCGGCGCCCACGACGAAGATGGCGACGATGGTGAAGAAGGAGATGGAGGAGATGGAGGAGATGGTGGAGATGGTGGAGGAGGAGGTGGACGCGGGGTTTCTCGAGGTGAAATGGACGCGGGGCTTCCCTGCCGACGGCTCCGTGGCCTTCGCGGACGCCGCCACGCTGTGCTACGCGAGCGGCGACTTCATCAAATTCGCTTCCTACCGCGGCGGCGACGACGGCAGCGTAGACAGCGTAGACGAACCCCCCACGGAGCCCGAGGGAGAAGGCCGCGACCGTCACCTGCGTTGCCCCGGGGCCGGCGTGGCCGCCCTGGCCGTGAGCGCGCCGCAGGGCCTGCTGGCCTTCGCCGACAGGCCCCGGCCCGGCCCCTCCATCCACGTCCTCACGCAGGCGGGCGGGACGCGCCGGGCGCGGCTGCGCGACGCGGCGCGCCTCGAGGTGTCTGCGCTGGCGCTGAGCGACGCGGGGCCCTACCTCGCGTCGTGGGCCGCGGCTCCCGACCTCTCGCTCTCGCTGTGGGACTGGCAGCAGGAGAAGCTGCTCTGCCGCTACGAGGCCCGCCAGCGGCGGTGGCCCCACGGCACGCGCATCCTCTCCGTCACGGGCCTCTCATTCTGCCCGGGCGGATGGCAGCAGCTGTGCACGGTGGGTGACGAGCACGTGTGCGTGTGGAGCGTGGAGCGCAGCGACTCGGTGTTCCGGCTCAGCCCGCGGAGGGTGCGGCTCCCCCCCGACGACGACGACGACGACGGCGGCGGCTCTCGCCCCGTCGACTCCGAGCCGCCGAGCGAACGCGGCGGCGGCCTCTTCGGGCCGCGGCTGCCGGCCTGGGCCCGTGCCGGCCTGGTGGAGCCCGCGACTCACGACTTCGTGCCCGAGGCGGAGGCGCGAGCCGCGGCGCGGCCCGTGTCGCACTGCTGGGCAAGCGGCGGGGACCGCCTCTACGTGGGCTGCGCGGGGGGGCAGCTGCTGTGCGTGGAGGCGGACGCGGGCGGCCCGCCGGGCGCCGAGCTCGCGCCGAAGCCGGTGGCGCGCCTGGGCCCGGGCCGAGCCGCCGCGCTGGCCGCGAGCCGGGACGCGGTGTACGCGGGCGGCGCCGACGGGGCCCTGCGCCGCGTCCGCGCGGCCCGAGCGGCCGGCGGCGAGAGCGTCGTCGACGAGTGCTGGGCCGGCGAGCGGCCCATCCTCGGCCTGGCCTTCTCGCCCGACCTGCGGGCGCTGGCCATCTCCACGGCCCGCGGCTCCGTGCACGTCTACCGGCCTCCGGAGGCGACCCCCGCGGCCGACGCGGCGGCGACGACGCCGGCGGCCGTCGCGGTGGACGCGGGCGGCGCGGCGCCGTTCGTGTGCGCGGCCGTGGCGGCCCCCGACGGCGCCGTGTGCGTCTCCGCGCGAGAGGACGGGGCCGTGCAGCTGTGGGCCGCCGCCTCGGGGCGCCTCCTGGGCGGCCTGGTTCTGGACGAGGCGCCGTGCGCGCTCGCGTGCCCCGCGTCGTCGCGCTGCGCCGCGCTGGGCACCGCGTCGGGCCGCCTGTGCGTGGTGGACGCGCGCCACCCGGAGCGGCCGCGCGTCGTCCTGCGGGAGAGGTTGACGCGGGCGCCGCTCGACCTCTTGCGCTGCGACGAGGCCGGGCGGCTGCTGGTGGCCGCGGCCGCCTCGGAGGGCCGCGCGTTCGTGGTGGACGCGAGGCCGTCGCGCCGCTTCGCCGTGCTCGGCTTCGTGGAGGATGTGGAGGAGGAGGAGGAGGCGACACGGCGTCGCGTGCTGGACGCCAGCGTCGTGCGGAGCGGGGAGGACGCGCGGCTCCTCCTGCTGCTGGGCCACGAGGGGGCCGCGAGTGGCGACCGTCTGGCGGTTTTCCACCTCCCCGGAGCGCTCGGGGGGGACTGCGCGAACCCTCGCGGCGACCTCAGCAAGGAGGCGACGCGGCCGCGGCGCTACGAGCTCGCGTTCCCGGCCACCGCGGCCGCGCTGGGCCGCGACGGCCTCTCGGTCTTCGTCTACTGCGGCCGCTCCCGCCTCGTCAAGGAGTTTGCCATCGCGGAGGGGGCCGAGGGGGGGCTTGGAGAGGCGCGGGAGTCGGCGGGGCACGACCTGCCCGACGCGCGGCTCGTCCTGGCGGCTGGGGGCCGGCGTCTTTACTCGGCCTCCTCCGACGGCGTCGTCAAGGCGAGGGCCGTCGGGGGCTCGCGGCGCGGGGTGGCGCAGGCCGCGTGCCACTGCCCCGCGCTGGGCGGGGTCCGTTCCCTGGGCGTCTCGTCCGACGGGAGGACGGTGGTGACCGCCGGGTGGCGGGACGACGGCGCGCTCGTCTGCCTCGCGTGGAGAGGAGAGCGCGGAGAGGAGGCGGCGGCGGCGGCGCCGGCGAGCAGCGACTGCTCCGAGGAGGACGCTCACCTCGCCTCCGTGGCGGAGCGTGAGCCTCGGCCCGCGTCCCCAGGCGACCGGGCGGCGGGCGAGGGGAAGGCGGACGACGGCGGCGACGACGAGGCGGCGGAGGAGGAGGAGGAGGAGCGGACGTGGGCGGAGCGGCGCGAGGCCGCGGCGGACGCGCGAGCGCTCGAGGTGCACGCGGAGACGCGCCGCGAGCTCCGCGAAGGCGTCGCCGAGCTGCGGCGCGAGCTGGAGGCGCTCGCGGCCGAGAACGAGGCGGCGCCCGAGCGCGAGCGCCTGCCGCCGGGCGACTTCCTGCTGGACGTGGAGGAGATCGGGCGGCTGCGCGACGAGGGGACGCGCGCCGTCGAGGGGCTGCGCGACGCGATCCAGCGCGAGAACGCCACCAACGTCGAGCGCTGCGACGCCCTCCGACGCCAGTGCTGGGACGCGATGGCCACCAAGGGCCGCTGCCTGCGCGCCTTCCTCTCGGGCGTCGAGGTGTGGAACTTCCCCGTGCCGGAGCGCGGCCCCGACGAGCTGCGGGAGCTGGAGAGGGTGAAGCTCCTGCGGGAGGTGGAGATGGCGGACCACCGGATCCGCAGGGAGCTTCTGGAAGGGCGCGGCGCCGGCAAGGACGGGCGCGGGGGGCCGGAGAAAGATGAGCGGGACGAGGAAGAGGGCGGTGACGGTGAGGTAGAGGACGAGGAGGAGGAGGAGGACATCGTGGGCACCCTGAGCGAGGAGCTGGGCGTCAGCTGCCCCTACCTGTACCGCCAGCTGGAGCTGCACTCGCGGGAGCAGCGCGTGAACCAGACGGTGCTGCTCCGGGACGTGGCGCGGCGGCTCCGCGTCGCCTTCAACGCCGACTTCGACTCGGCGCGCCGCCACAAGGAGCAGGAGGCGGCGCGCGCGCGGGACGCCGGGGAGCGCGTCGCCGAACTCCTCGCCGACCTGGCCTCGATCGGCGCCGCCGCCGCCACCGTCGCGACGCCGACGATGCCGACGCTGACCCCGAGCCGGGACGAGGAGCCCGAGCGAGCGCTGGCGGTGGACGACGCGGAGGTGACGGCGGAGCGCCTCCTCACCGACGAGCAGAGGGCCGCCGCGGAGGAGCGCGCGCGGGAGGAGGAGCGGGCGCGGCTCGCGGAGCGAGGGGGCGGCGCCGGCGGCACCCGCTCCCGCGCGCTGCGGGACATGATGGGCGGGGAGCTGGAGGTCAAGCGCGACGGCGCCGCGGCGCTCCGGCCCCTTCCGCGGCGGCCCGCGTTCGCGAGCCGCCCCGAGTCGGAGTGGACCGAGGAGGAGCGGCGGCAGGCGCGCGACTTCGAGAGGGAAAGCCGCGAGGTGGCCGAGGAGCGCGAGCGCTTCCGCAAGGCGCTCGAGGCCGAGGTGGCCAAGACGCGGGCCGCCGTCCTGGACGGCTGCCGGGCCTTCGACGAGTCTCTGGCGCGACTCGCCGAGCGGAGGGCCCGCACGGAGGCCGCGGTGTGCCAGGAGGAGCTGCGCCTCGCCCTGCTGGGCGCCGCGCTGCTGCTCGAGGAGGAGCTGGACACGTACCAGCAGGAGCTGCGCCGGCGCCTGGAGGAGAACACTGCGGCGCGCGACGAGAGCGAGCGGGAGCTGCGCGAGGCGACGGCGCGCGCCGACGCCCTGCGCGAGTCCTACGACGACCTGTGCGCCGAGGACAAGCTGCTGGAGCGCGCCTTCAAGAAGGAGCTCGCCGAGATGGCGCAGGGCCCCGCGGCGGACGCCCTCGCCCGCCTCTACAAGCGCCGGCCGCGGGCCCAGAAGCTGCGCGCGCAAACCGACGCGGCGGAGGCCGACGGGGAGCGCGACTGGGAAGAGCCGGACCCGGCGACGGAGATCGTCCCCGAGGGGGTGGAGCCGCCGGCGTGGGAGCGCTTCTGCCGGGCGCGGAGCCTCAAGGCGCGCGGCGAGCTGGCGCTGCGCCGCAAGGCGCTCGCCGCGGCCGAGGCGGCCGCGTTCGCTCGGCGGATCGCCGACGAGGGCGAGGGGCTGCGGGCCGAGGCGGGGCGGCTGGCGGCGGAGCTGGACGAGGCGCGCGCGGAGGCGTCGCGCCGGCAGCTCGACGCGACGCTGCTGGTGCTGCTCAAGCAGGGCCAGGTGGAGCTGGACGACGAGGCGCCGGCGCCCGACTACTCGGACGCGCGACTCGTTCCCCGGGACGCGGTCGAGGCGCTGAACGCGACGATCCGAGCGGCGTGCGAGCGCAAGGTGGCGAGCATGGAGAGCGGCAGGGAGGCGCGCCGCGCCATCGCGCGCCTCCAGTGGGAGTGCCGGAAGCTGCGCCTACGGGCGGACGAGCTGCGGGAGCTCGCACGGGACGTCCGGACGGCGCGGGTGTCGCGCGAGCTGCTGGCGAACGCCGGCGGCGGCGGCGAGGACCGCGCCTCGCGCCACGCGGCCGCCGCCGAGAAGAACCTCGCCGCCCGGCTGGAGGCGCGCGATCGCGAGGAGCGGCGTCTCGAGCGGCGCGCCGAGGCGCTGCTCGCCGAGGCGGCGCGGCTCCGGCGTGAGAACGCGGCGCTGGACGCGCGGCTGCCGGAGCTGCGCGCGTCCGTGTCGGAACGGGGACGAGCGAGCGAGGGGGGCGGCGGCGGCGGCGCCGGCAGAGGAGGAGGCGGCGCGGAGGCGTCACGAGCGAGTGGCGCGGGAGAGGCACGCGGCGGAGGCGGCGCGGGAGCAGGCGCGGGAGATCGCGGCGCTCCGGGTGGAGCTGGAGAGGATGCGCATGAGGTCCTTCCCCGCGCTCGTGCCCGCGGACCGCTGACCGCGGGAGGCGGCGGGGGGAGGGGCGCCCGCCCGAAGGTTTTAACGTCGTAGAGTCGCCATCGATCCTCTAGGCCGCAACGTAACGGTCCGGCTAAAATTCGTGGCCACCCGACGCAGCCAAACAAATTAAAGCGTCGCGTGTTATTCAAACGTCAGTTCACTCGCCGGTAAATTGCCGAACAATTCTCACTCGGAACCACGTCGACATCATCAGGACAAGGTCCAGGAAGTCAGAATATAAATTTTGGAAGTCAGAGTTAAAATTGGCAGCGAAAAAAAAACCCACGTGTTAAATTAACATCATCACCAAAGGTCATCATCTTTTTGTTCTGCCTACATGGAGACTTTCTCGATGTATGACCTCGTGGTATTGGTGAACAATTATCTATTTATGAATGTACTCATCACACTCATCATCATCGTCATCATCCCCTGTTGCATCCGGTGTAAAATTATCTTCACATATCAACACTCTGATTCATTCATACCTTGAGTCAATCTGATTCATCCATCCGTCATTCGGCGTACAACTCAACAGCTAAAAATCATTAAATTTCGATTTAAAGCTTTCGTGACTGCAGAGATTCATCTTCTTGGTTCTTTCGGTAAAGTCACGTAGAATTGACCTGGTCTTCACCTGAGGACGGCTGCTTGCGTTGAGGCCAAAACGTCGTAAGAATTATCTTATTATGTTTTATTTAATTATTTTATTATTTCCATTCTACGTGACTTTACCGAAAGAACCAAGAAGCTAAAAATCATGCAAAAATCACCAAATTCTAGCCCCTTTTCAACATTTTAAAGAGGGCACGACCCGACCTAACAGGCACGACAACCACCTCGGCACCGCCATCTGAGAGTTGCGATGCAAACGCACATCGAGTGAATAAATCGGAGAGTGCGCGACTCCCTTTTTGGACAATGGCGAGAGAGGGAGTGGGGATGGCAGAGGCCGTTCCACCATCAATTGCGGTGGACGGGCAAAAGTTGCACACACAGCGAGTGGCGCTGCCAAAGATTACGTTCTAAATAAATGACGAATGTGACGAACATCCCTCTTGAAAAAAAAATTGCCTTGAGACAAAGCGAGGAGGCTTTTGCCTCGGAAAAGAATCATTAACCAAACGCGTAAGGGTCTCTCTGCTCACATGAACTCGGGGGTCCCGCTCACCTCCACTGGCAGTGCTGGAAATTCCACTTTCCCATGCATGGGGCATTCCCTCGATCTCACAGTTTGTAGAATGACGACGAATGACTTCAAAGTGATGTTACTCAATTTATCCACCACAGGGATGATGGCGATGATGACATCAGTCGACCCCTGACCGTAATTTGAAAAACCCGCAGTGACATACAGCCGGACTTCTGTTGTTGTTGCTGCTGTTGTTGCTGCTGTTGTTGCTGTTGTTGTGGTTGCTGTTATTGTTGCTGCTGTTGTTGCTGCTGTTGTTGCTGCTGTTGTTGTTGTTGCTGCTGCTGATGTTGTTGTTGCTGTTGTGGTTGCTACTGTTGTTGCTGCTGTTGTTGCTGCTGTTGTTGTTGCTGCTGTTGTTGCTGCTGTTGTTGCTGTTGTTGTGGTTGCTGTTATTGTTGCTGCTGTTGTTGCTGCTGTTGTTGTTGCTGTTGCTGTTGTTGTTGCTGCTGTTGTGGTTGCTACTGTTGTTGCTGCTGTTGCTGCTGCTGTTGTTGTTGCTGCTGCTGTTGTTGTTGCTGCTGTTGTGGTTGCTACTGTTGTTGCTACTGCTGTTGTTATTGCTGCTGTTGCTGTTGTTGCTGCTGTTGTTGTTGCAGTTGTTGTTGTTGCTCAGCGGGTGTCGCTATCGAGTGTTGCATGCGGTGCAACTGCACCGGGTCCCACGGGGCTGGAGGCGTCCAGGGTGCCGGGCGCCCAAGAGGGACGGGACGTGGGGCCCCGTTTCATTCCCTGCACCAGGGCCCATGCCAACCACATTGCGGCGCTGTTGCATTGTTGTTGTTGCTTTATAAGGTCGCACTCATTACACACACAAAGTACTTGCCACAAATGAACCACAATACCTTGCTGAGCTCGTCAAGAAGCTATAAAACATCACGCGAACTCCGCTCATCCTCGCAGCAATGGCTTTTGGCTCAGACCTCAAACAATGGCGGTGGTCACGGCATTGCACGGCACTTTCAGACGCGCTTCTGCGGCCGTCTGGAACGCTCTTCCTTCCGATATTAGGAAGCCACTAGGAGCTATGTAGTTTTAAATCTAGATTTGAAAACGAATTTCTTTAGCACTGCTTTTTGTGTTGAGTTTGTTGTCCTTCCCCCACACCGATTAGCACGGTTGGCTACGTACGGTGCGAAAGAAGTCCAACGTTCATGCGTTGCTGCAGCTGTTGTTGCTGGTGAATTCTGTGCTTGTTTGCTGGGTGGAGGTGGTGGGTGTCTCACCTTGGCTGAGTTCAGTGATGCCTTCTCGTGTTCACATCGAGTGCCTTAGATTGGTTCTCTGAGCCCTGTAACTTGACTGTTATACCGAGCCCTCTTCTGGAATGATAATAAACAATGCTTTACAGTTCCTTTTGCCAATCCACTGCTGAAGCTTGGAGAGCTAAACTGAGTTCAAAAGAACTCACAGACACCTTGCTGTGAAACACCCAACGGCAGAAGATCGCTTGGCGTTTCATCTTCCACGAAGCTCATGGTCCACCCGAAATAACATCCGCCGCAAAAAAACCACGGCAGGTGCGGATACCTGATGCACAAGTGGAACATTTTCAAAAGTCTCCAGCAGTGCGCGACTGTGGTCATCCAGAACTGTCCGTACAAGTGTAGCTACGTTCTACCGTGGGCCCAAGCCTCACGATTGACGCATCTGGCTGTCATATAACAGAGCAGCATTAAGTTGCGCCATCCACGCCCTAGACCAATGGGCTGGCATGAAAGCGAAACGCATTGATAACTTAATTGTGTTCTTGGTTCTTTCGGTAAAGTCACGTAGAATGGAAATAATTAAATAATAAAAATAAAACATTATAAAATAATGTCGAGAAGACAGAGTCGACAGACCTGTTCTCCACCTGAGGACGGCTGCTTGCGTTGTGGCCGAAACGTCGTGAGAATTATTTTATTATGTTTAATTTTTATTTTATTATTTCCATTCTACGTGACTTTACCGAAAGAACCAAGAAGATGAATCCCTGCAGTCACGAAAGCTTTAAATCGAAATTTAACTTAATTGTGATAATTGGTTTTTTACCCTTTTATCTGGCAACAAAGCTGACACCTTTTTTACAAGGAGTCATGTTTGCATAGACCACAATACCTGCGGTCGTAATGCAAACAAAAACATAACTCTGATAATGTATGCACTGTCCTTGAAGTTGATTGGTCCACACCCGAGACAGCTTTCCTAAAAAAAGGTGTCAGTTTTGTTGCCAGATAAAAGGGTAAAAAACCAATTATCATATTTTTTCTTCTGGCAAATGAGGTTCCAATGAACTTAATTGTGCTTAGTATTGCACCTTTAAAAACGTTGTTTTTTAACACCGTCACTGTGAGACTGTCTTCATATAAACCTAACTTAATTAATATGTGCAGCTAAAGCCGACTACTGTATTATTCTATGCGGGGTTAAAAACCATCCATGGCTATTTCAGTAAAAGTGAGTTGGGAGAAAGGCGAGGGGACCCACAGTCGGATCTTGCATCCCCCACCCCCCCCCCCCCCCCCCGTTGACATATATCGTTGCACCCCTGTCTGGTTCTGACCAACTGCATGTGAAACTAGTCTTTGCTCCGCATCTACATCACCATCAGCCGCCGGATGAGCGCCTCTTCCACGCCGCCTCGGACGTGAGAAGTTGCGTGGCCCGATTGCCACCACGCCGGTCGGGACGTAAGGCTACAGCTGAGCTCTCTCCATCCTGTCCCGCCCTGGGCCGCATGCTGTGCCCTCTCTCCCCACAAGAGCTGTCGTCTGTATTCTTAGGTTTTTTCGGTAAAGTCACGTAGGTAAAAAATTAAAATTAATAAAAGTAAAATAAAAATAAAATAAAAATCACGACGTTTCGGAGGCAACACAAGTTTCCGTCTTCAGGTGGAACCGTCACAGCACGATAGCTGTATCAAGTGAGAGAAATTCCAAGAACACAGTATTTGTATATATACAGGTTGAGGGTGGGAGGAGCCAAGGTAGGCCCTCGGTATTATTTTTGTGAGGTTCGGTGCGGCTGAAGCACGCTGTTAGGAATGAGCCTTTGTTGTGTAAACTAGGTGCGGATGATGTAAAGGTGCGTGTAAAAATGACTGAGCCTTTTTGTTATGTAGAGATGATGCGGCTTAATTTCTCTCACTTGATACAGCTATCGTGCTGTGACGGTTCCACCTGAAGACGGAAGCTTGTGTTGCCTCCGAAACGTCGTAATTTTTATTTTATTTTTATTTTACTTTTATTAATTTAAAATTTTTACCTACGTGACTTTACCGAAAAAACCTAAGAATATGAATCCTTGCAGTCACGAAAGCTTCAAATCTAGCTTTTGTCTGACCAAGCTCTATATCGGTGACGGTTTTTCGCCAGGCGCGGTTTTTGACCTCCCCCTGTTTTCACGGCCATTCGTCGCAAGACGTCCAGTGACATTCACTTATCCCCAGGACTTGTGCCGTCTTTGGAGGTCTCGTACATATGGTTTTGACATTCAAAGCGCCCAGGCGGATATTGTTTTTTAGGCCCTCAGTTAACTCTCTTCACACTCCCGACTTCCAATGGCTTGGCTTTCATCGGGAGTGATCATACTGCCACTGTCAAGGTGGCAAGGGAGGAAAACAAAATAAATACTTTACCAACCGTCGCCCTACCCATTGACATGCTAATTTTCTCTAACCCCCTCCCTCTCTCCGCCCCCGCCTCCCTCTCTCTATTTAAGGCCTCGTCACAGAGACGCTCTCTCTCTCTGTGTGCCTATGTGTTGCTCTCTCTATGTATCTTGGTGATATCTGTCTGCTTATATGTCTGTCTATAGTTTTCTGGTTAGATTTTTGTTGCTATTTCATTTATACCTGATGATGATTGCTTGTGTTGCAATCGAAACGTCGTATGCTATTATTTAATTTATTATTTTATCTTTATACGTGACTTTACCGAAAGAACCAAAGAGTAATTCCTGCAGTCACGAAAGCTCCAAAATTAAGAAATAAAAACCGGTTCGGATATTACTCGCCACCGATGGAAACGCTGGTAATCAAACTCGGGCTCTGTAGCTGGGTTCTCAGCGCAGTGCACTAAACCACCGCGCGCTCACCGCCCCATTCCAGGATGTATGAACGAAATTCTTAAAACTCATCGGTTTATTGAACTGGAGCCGACAGGCTGCGCATTGAAATTGCCAGGATACCTTCCGGGACAATCCAGTCGTCACTAAGAACTTCCAAAGTCAACACGCTCCTTCACTTGCACCAACGCCCCGGATTTGTGCAGCTTAGTGGGCGACATTCGAAGCTAAATACTTACAGAAAAGCACGCACACACATATATGTGTGTGCGTGTACAAACATCGTGCATTATTCTGAGTACCAGCAAGGTCGGCGCACGTGTCGAAGAGTGCGTGGGCATTTAAAAGGCCGGTGGCACCTAGCCAGTGCGAGCTCAAATCCCCCAACGCAGGCTTCCCCTTGGCTGGACTGCATCGACAGCCGTGAGTTTTGTTAATTATCGGTCATTCCTTGTCAAGGCCACTCGTTTATAGCACGAGAGGGGCATAATAAGCGACCGCCTACACCATACACACACACACATATATATAAAATTCCGCGCGTAAAGAAGAAAGTTTCCAATCAGTGCATATACAGAATTTTTGCCAAATCAAAACAAAAGATTCGAAATTGGGGGGGGGGCGGGTGGAGGGGGATGGAGAAGGGTTGATGGAGGGTGAATGGGGGTGGGAGGAGGGGTGGAGAACAGAGGCACGCAGGCTTGAACTGGCACCGAGAGACAGAAAGAGCAACACGTGGGTTACGGGACACGTCCAGGTGAAGCGACGTCACGCATTGTGACGACGACCAAAATTTGGTGCCCAGGTGCAGGACGCCGTCGCCAAGACGGACGAGACTTCACGCGCCGCACGGGGACGTTCGCTTGCGGAGATGGAGCGATGGAATCGGACCGTGTGCCGGAGGCGGAGGGACGGAACAAACGGGAGTGTCGCATCGGAAAAAATAAAACCACGAGAGATGGCGACGAATGGTGGTGGGGAGGGGGAGGCCTTCATGCAACAGTGGATAGATCGTGGCCGATGATGTGCTCCGAACAATATCCTTCATAGCTCCCCGTGGCTGCTTGCCACCCACGCCGTCAATTTTCAAAGTGCGCAAGTGACGAGGCCCTCCTCCAATGCCGGCCTCGCGCCAGACTGCCGTGGATTCCTTCGTCGTTCTGAAACGTGCGCGCGTTGAACTTCTTTCGCGCCGTACCTTGGCCGAGCGCGCTAATCAGGAGCCGATTGTGAACATCGGGGCGGCCGTCCCGTTGGACTGGAACGTCACGGGGTCGGACGCCGAGTCGGCACCGCTCAGATTCTCGGCCGTCAGACGACGACAACGACTTACGTTTGTGACGCGCCGCGTAAACACAGCGCACGTCTCAGCCGCCCGTATTGAAACACGGATCCCAACCCAGGTCCTCGGTGTTGCCGGCTTGGTGTCACCGAGACCGCTGTAGCACCCCGAGCAGCCACGGAGACCTCGACTCCCCGCGCGCGCGTGGATGTGTGTGTCCGTGTGTGTGTGTGTGTCCGTGCGCGTGTGTGTGTGTGTATCCGTGCGCGTGTGTGTGTGTGTGTCCGTGCGCGTGTGTGTGTGTATCCGTGCGCGTGTGTGTGTGTGTGTGTCCGTGCGCATGTGCGTGTGTGTGTATCCGTGTGCGTGTGTGTGTGTTTGTGTGTGTCCGTGCGCGTGTGTCCGTGCATGTGTCCATGCGCATGTATCCGGTGCGCGCGTGGCCTGTGCGTGCGTGTCGCCGCGCGAACACGTGTCTCCGCGCGTGTGTGTGTGTCCGTGCATGTCCGTGCGTGCGTGTGTCCGCAGCAGCGTGTCCCCCCGTGCGTCCTCTTGTCTAATAGTTGAGGCGGGTGGCCAGGGACGTCCCGGCGAGGCTCTCGGCGTAGGAGGCGTCCAGCTCTGCGCTCTGCTCCTCGCTGAAGTAGTTCTTCCAGTCGCCCACCTCCCCTGTGCGCCCGCACACAACCCGGCCATTGAGAGCCGCGACGAGGGGGTGATGAGCGGGGGTTGATGGAGGGGGGTGAAGTAATTATAACAATCGTATCTCAACAGAAATGTTTAAAGCGCAGGCGCTTTACCTTAAGAATGAACGACGGTACGGTACATATGAACGTGATCGTGGAGATGAGGTGGAACTAAATAGATGAGAGGAAGCGATGGGGTGGGGGGCAAATCTGTGATGATGACTTATTTACCGAGGAAGATGATGGGGTTTTTTTTCCTGCATTGCGATATTCGCCCCAGCACCAAAAACATGAAAATGACATCGCTCGTGTTTAGGCGACGGAAGAGAGCTGGGGAACCCCGGAGCAAACCCGTGCAGAGCGGGGAGAGAGAGAATATACGAAGGTCAAGTGAGAGAGAAAATACGAATGTCAAGTGAGAGAGAAAATACGAATGTCAAGTGGGAGAGAATATACGAATGTCAAGTGGGAGAGAATATACAAACGTCAAGTGAGAGAGAAAATACGAATGTCAAGTGGGAGAGAAAATACGAATGTCAAGTGGGAGAGAATATACAAACGTCAAGTGAGAGAGAAAATACGAATGTCAAGTGGGAGAGAAAATACAAACGCCAAGTGAGAGAGAAAATACAAACGTCAAGTGAGAGAGAAAATACAAACGTCAAGTGAGAGAGAAAATACGAATGTCAAGTGAGAGAGAAAATACGAATGTCAAGTGAGAGAGAAAATACAAACGTCAAGTGAGAGAGAAAATACGAATGTCAAGTGGGAGAGAATATACAAACGTCAAGTGAGAGAGAATGTACGAATGTCAAGTGGGAGAGAAAATACAAACGCCAAGTGAGAGAGAAAATACAAACGTCAAGTGAGAGATAAAATACAAACGTCAAGTGAGAGAGAAAATACAAACGTCAAGTGAGAGAGAAAATACGAACGCCACGTGAGAGGAGGTGACCGAGGCACCCATCGAAGCGCGTCCATGAGGCGTGAGTGTTGCCACTGCGCACGCGGAGGTAGGAAGGGAGGGGGGGGGTGCAGGCCACCCACCTTTGCGGAACACCACCTTGCCGAACTTGAAATTGTCAGCCTCGGCCTTGGCCTTCATGGCGCTGAAGGTGCCATTGTCGGCCACGTCGGAGATCTGCTCCCCGGACAGACCCAGCCCCAGGAAGGTGGACATCTTCTGAAGCTCCCCCGGCAGGTCCTGGACACAAAGACGAAGATCCCCCGTGTAGCCTTAACCAGACCATCGGGGCAAGTGCTGTTAGCGAGTAGCGCCTACGAAGGCCGGCGATGTTTACACATCGCTACCCAGGTACTCATTTGGAGCTGAGTCGACCCAGGGGACGCCCAGGACAGGTTCAAATAATTGTCACCGGCGGTGGCCGTGAACGCGAATACAACTCGGGTCTCTAGGGTTCGTAGGTCAGCGTGCTAACCGCTGCGCCACCGCTCCCCCCTGCGACGCTACCGCTCCTGGATACACGCACACGCACGCACCGCGCACGCACAGTTTCTGTCCACCGAATTTCCTTTTAAGTGGATTCGCCGCGACCCCACACTCTGGTCGCAACACTCGGAATCTGGCTGTCGCCTGATGATGCCGGTTGTAATTACTGGCCAAACGTCGTACTCCGATTGTAAATGTTGTGGCTTGGCTCTCCAACGCACACCGGTGTTGCTGTTCTAGTATACTACACTATACACTACACTATACACTACACTATACACTACACTATACACTACTACACACTACACTATACACTACACTACACACAAGTGCTGTACTAGTAACGAATTGGCACGTTCTGTTTACGTGACAACCCTTACTAGTTGGCTGTGTCGGGTGGTGGCGGGTTTTAACAAAACATTTATATATTTACGTGATCTAGCCCCAAAAAAAACCTCTATTGTGGATGATATTGGTCGCGAAAGCCCCCTACGTGTCAAACATTACAATTATTATCAACCTGAACTCAGCGCTCGCATGCGTGCGAGGTCACGGAGCGACGGCGGGGTCATGCGGGGTCGTGAGGGGTCGTGTGGGGTCATGAGGGGTCATGTGGGGTCATGCGGGGTCGTGAGGGGTCATGTGGGGTCGTGACGGGTCGTGCGGGGTCGCTCACCGCCTTTAGCTCCTCGTAGGTGAGCACCAGAACGTTGTCGGCCTCCCAGTGCTTGTCCCACTGCTTGATGTAGTCAGAGTAGACACCCCACGGGACTGCAGCGACGTAGGACGGGACGGAGGTGGGGGGGGTCAAGTTAACGTGGACGCCGCGGTGGCTAGGAGATGTTAACTACCTCGCCTGGTTTACCGAAGGTCGTGGATTCGATCCCGACCCTGACGCCTGTTGCTGTATATTTGGAGTTTTACGTGTCTCTCTCATCATCATCATCATCACGGTGGCTAGGAGATGTTAATTACCTCGCCTGGTATGCAGGAGGTCGTGGATTCGATCCGGACCCTCCTCCCATCGCCCCCCCCCCCCCCAGCCTGAGCGGCATGGACCCTGAAGCCATCGGGGGCGATGAAAACAAAGATCCCCCGTGTAGCCTTAACAGACTGTAGGGGCAAGTGCTGTTAGCGAGTAGCACCTACGTAGGCCGGCACGGCACACGATGGGGGTGGGTGGACAACACCACGCCCGGCCGCCTTTGTCTCCCCAGTGGCGATGTTTACACATCGCACCAGGTACTCATTTGAGGCCGAGTCAACCTAGTGGAGGCCCAAGACCGGTTCAGAAAATCGTCACCGAGTGTTGGCCGTGAACGGGAATCAAACTCGGGTCGCCGGGTTTGTAGCGCAGCGTGGCGCTAACCGGGGATACGCGGGGGGGGGGGGGGGGGGAGACACGCGGGGGGTAGGGGTGAGACGAGGGGGGAGAGGAGACACGTGGGGGGAGAGGATACACACGTACCGTCTCCCTCCATGAACAAGCGGTAGAATTCGTCCCAGGAGTCGACGCCGGGCAGGCTCGGATTGTTGTTGTAGAAGTGGTAGAAGGACACCGCCGTGTCCTTCGGCTCTCGGAAGACGAGCACCATCTGGACCACACGGGTCGTCAGTTGGACAAGCCGATGGATCAATTGGCAGTCGGACAAACCGATGGATCAGACCTCAGTCGGACAAGCTGATGGATCAGACGTCAGTCAGACAAGCTGATTGATCAGACGTCAGTCAGACAAGCTGATGGATCAGACGTCAGTCAGACAAGCCGATGGATCAGTGCACGTCCCACCGCAAACACGAAGAGAGTTGGCCCAAGTCGTCTGTGCCCGGACAAAGCCCAACCACCACGCGAGGGTTGCCATCAATCTCGCGAATTCTCGCCGCGGCCTCCGACTCTCACCTTGCACTTGTTGGCGAAGAATGATGCGGGGACGCGGTCCCTGGGCATGTGCGAGGCGATGACTCGCGGCGAGGGGAAGGCGTCCATGCCCTGGACGCAGTGCACACACAAAGACAAAGATCTCCCACATAGCCTTAACAGAATGTAGGGGCAAGTGCTGTTAGCGAGCACCTATGAAGGCCGGCACGGCACACGAGGGGGTGAGTGGCCAACACCACGCCCGGCCGCCTCTGTCTCAATAGTGGCGATGTTTACACATCGCACCAGGTACTCAATCGAGGCTGAGTCGACCTAGGGGAGGCCCAGGGCCGGTTCAGATAATCGTCACCGGTGTTGGTTGTGGCCGTCATCGGGATTCGAACTCGGGCCGCCGGGTTCGTAGCGCTAACGGCAGCGCCACCGCTCCCCACACACAAGAACAAGAACATCAAAAACAATAAAAACAACGGTGGTCGATTTTGATGTTTTGTTTGAGTCGAATGATCGGCCCCTGTCAGAACCCAGCAGCCTGAGCAGTGTGGCGTGGTGCTAAACAACCAAGAGCCCATGCAAGCTGATCCATGGTGGATCGATTCATGTCGGGGTGTGTGAGCGGTGGTCTGTGTGTGTGGCTCTCTGTGTATGGCTCTGTGTGTGTGTGTCTGTGTGTGTGGCTCTCTGTGTCTCTGTGTGTGTCTCTGTGTGTCTCTGTGTGTGTGTCTCTGTGTGTGTCTCTGTGTCTGTATGTCTCTGTGTCTCTGTGTGTGTCTCTGTGTCTCTGTGTGTCTCTGTGCCTCTGTGTGTCTCTCTGTGCCTCTGTGTGTCTCTCTGTGTCTCTGTGTGTGGGGGGTGGGTGGGCGTGTAGAGGCACCTCCAGCTTGGACAGGGGCCCGAACTCAATCAAGGGGATGTGCGCCTGGTGGCTCGTTGGGTGCTTGTCCAGCTCAGGGTGAGACAGCTTCACCATATGCATGAGCAGCCGCACAACCCAGTTGCAGCCTGGAGGCAAAGACAAGGCGAATATCACACGTGTAGCCTTCACGGACTGTCGGAGCAAAGTGCTGTTAGCGAGTTACACCTGTGAAGGCCAGCACTGTGGCACACGAGGGGGTAGATGGCCAGCAAAAACGCCCGGCCGCTTTTGTATCCCTAGTGGGGATGTTTGAACGCCGCACCAGGTACTCATTTGAGGCTGAGTCGACCTAAGGGAGGCCCAGGGATGGTTCAGGTATCTGTTGCTGGCGTCGGCCTTGAGCGGGAATTGAGCTCGGAACCAACTGCACGACCGCATCCACAAAAGACAAAGACGTCCCCTATATAGGAATAGGTTTGACCCTTTCTGGCAAGTAAACAGGTGGTGTTAAGATTTCGATTTAAAGCTTTCGTGACTGCAGGGATTCATATTCTTGGTTCTTTCCCTGCTACGTGACTTTACCGAAAGAACCAAGAATATGGTGTTAAGATGTTAAAACACCAAACTGAAACTTTTTGCAAGGAATCGTGTCTGCATTAGCCACATATACTTGTGGTAAACATGCAAACAAAAAAACATGCCCTGGTAGTACGTGATGATGCATTGTCTTTGAAACCGATTGGTCCAGACCAGGTTCTCATATCTGCAACGCGTGCATCTTTTGCCACCAAGAAAATCCACCGCTTGCTTTGGGCGTCTTACCCTAACCACTGCCCAACAACAAACACAAGCCACACAAACGCACCCACTGCAGCCCTGTGCAAAGGAACGAGCTCTCAAAGCCCCCTACGCTACACGATGACATTGCAAAAAAAAATTAACCCGTAAAAACAAAGTTTTTCACTATAAATCCTTTATATGCGTGGCATCGGTTTTATTTTATTATTCATTTCTGTTTTTCTTGAATAAGAGTTTCATTTTTATCACATTGGTATTTTAAATTAAATATGAAATTTTTATTTCCTAAAAAGTGGAACATTTTGGAAACATTTTTTCACGAAAATCAATTGTCACGCACAACGAGTCTGTGTGCAAAATGTCAGCTCGATTGGATCACGGGAAGTGGGTTAAAAAACGACCGAAAGATTTGCACGGTCGTAAGCGCGCAAGCAAGCACGCAAGCAAGTGAACTTAATATAAAGGATTTAAAAACTGCCCGGTCAAAGCAAAGGTGATGCCGTGACGGGCCGCGAGGCGAAGTCCCTATTGCATCCGTCTCTCGTTACCTGGACGAGATCAAGACTTGGTCCAATGGCTGGTGGGGCTTTCAGACGTCAGGCGCCACCTTTGTGCAAATTGTCTTGCCCCAAACAGTCCGTTAGGAGCTACTCCGTCGGTCGGATTTGTAGGGCTCGTCTGAAAACCACGTGAATTGTCTCATGCGTGTCCGTCTGTTTTTGCTTCTTAGTTTGAGTATGAAGGGTTTTTATGCTTACGGGAGTGTGTTGTTAAAGCGCCGTGACGCCGTGTGTGGATGGCGCTGTATATACACACAGCTGAGTTTTACTTTCTATGTTTTGGACAATTCACGAATCCGTCCGTGCATTACCACACCGACGACAATTGCCGAACATGAGTTACCAATGATATAAAAGGAGAACAAGTAAAAGGTGCTACCTGAACAACACATCCCAATAGCTGATAACAATTGTGTTGACATCGCTTGGAGACAATTAAAAACAATTACAAAAACGTCAAAGGGACCTGCATCGGTGTATCCGGACCAGGCAGCTGATCTCCGATCTCCATACTGCACGCAGCACCCTGCCGTTATCACAACTGCTGTGTTTTTTTTAAAGTTTGGCTGGCTGACTGCCTTGACTGACTGGGACGAACGGAACGGCCACGTCCGAAACGCATTCGCGTTGCTCGTTATCGCTAAATAGGCCCCCTCGCAATACGTAAGGCGAGCCGCAGAGAGAGAGAGAGAGCGTCCAATGTTCGAATTGCTCTCACCTCTCAACGCTGCCGTGCAGCAGCTGTTGACACATTCCCCAATGGCGTGGCTGTGATTTCAAAGCGATTGTATCAACCGGGCCAGGTGACGCAAGACTTTGGCAAACTCCGTCTCACATATCTTGATGTGAATCTTGATTTGAGGCTTTCGTGACTGCAGGAATCCATACTCTCTGGTTCTTTCGGTAAAGTCACGTAGGTAGAAAAATTAAAAATAATACATCACGACGTTTCGATCGCAACACAAGCGGTCGTCCTCAAAAAACATCCAGCAGTGGATATTTTTTATTTTATTTTATTTTTCTACCAACGTGACTTTTACCGAAAGAACCAAAGAGTAATATTATTAATCCATGCTCGTTTCTGCGTGGATTAAATATCGCCCGTTCTATAGGATTCGGGGGGGGAGGGGGGATGTGTGTGTGCGTCAAGCGTACTTACGCAGGTGAGGAGGAGGAGGGTGGGTGTAAAAAGTCCGCGTGCGTACAGGGAGCGGAGAGAGGGCTCAGGTTTTGACAGATGTTTGCGTTACCTACTCAACGGATGGCCCCCCTTAGCCAGTAGCAACCCTATGGAGGCCCCGACGCAGAAGACGAGGGGGTTTAGGGTTTGTCGGTGGCCGGCACTCACGTTCGTTCGTTCGCCTGTTGCCTCTAAAGCGCTTGTTTTTTTCACAAACCACACGGAGGAGGCTCGTTCCTTGAAACGTTTTAGTTTTGTGTCGCCGCATCGTACGGAGCCAACCGGACTGCATCGGAGGCGCCGGGGCGGGCCGGAGGGGAAGGACAACAAACTAGACACCAGGTACTCGTTTGAGGGCTGAGTCGACCTAGGGGAGAGCCCATGACCGGTTCAGATATTCGCTATCACTGGGTGTTCGGTGGCCGTGAGCGGGAATCGAACCCGGGTCGCCGGGTTCGTAGCGCAGCGTAGCGCTGACCGCTGCACCACCGCTCCCCCCACACACACAGGCACACAGAATCGGAATGTTGTATTCATACTGGAGGAGGAATCCGATGAGCTGTAAAGCTCTTTCTCACAAATGGCCAGTAAGGGGCACTGGGTCAGAACGTCACAACAACAAACAGTACCCCAAAAACACGAGAGCAGCAGTATATGAAAGGTAATCAAATGACATACAAAAAATACACACAAATCAAATTGAACCATTTTTCTTTTTTTATCTTCCCAGGTTCGAAATAATAATTTTTAAAAATGTGACGAAAAAACAAAACAAGTATAACCCGCAAAAACTTTTTTTTTTTACTATAAATCCTTTATATGCGTGGCGGCTCTCGTCCTCTGGCTTGAGATGGCTGCCACCTATGGGTCAGATGATTACATTGCACCATTAAGCAATTGGTAATTAAATATAATATTTTTGTCCTAAAAAGTGTAAAATTTTGGACGAACATGAATTGTCACGCACAACGAGTCTGTGTGGAAAATGTCAGCTCGATTGGATCACGGGAAGTGGATTAAAAAACGACCGAAAGATTTGCACGGTCGTAAGCAAGCAAGCGAACTTAATATAAAGAATTTAAAAACCCCACACCTCCCCCGCCTCCTGCCGTCTCGACAAACTGCGACGTGGCATTTGTCCATCACACCGCCCGGCCGCCTTTGTCTTACCCCAACCACTACCGCCCTGTGGTGTGGTGCCATGTGTCCCGTGAGACTCACCACACTTGGGGTAGCTAAGCAGGACGATGTCGTCGAGTCGAGCCTGGAAGTCGGGCAGCCTGTTCAGGGTGTCCGCGTGCACGAGGGCGCGAGGCATCTTGAGGCCGTCCATCATCACGAGTCGCTCCTCTCGGGGAATCCTGGCCACCTCGGACATGAACTCGTTCAGCTGCTCTGTGGTGGATTGATTCATGTCGCCGTGTGTGTGTGTGGCTGTGTGTGTGACTGTGTGACTGTGTGAATGTGTGACTGTGAGCGGTGGTTTCTCTGTGTGTGTGTGGCTGTGTGACTGCGTGAGTGGTGGTCTGTGTGACTGTGTGTGTGACTGTGTGAGTGACTGTGTGAGTGGTGGTATGTGTGTGTGACTGTGTGAGACTGTGTGAATGTGTGACTGTGAGCGGTGGTTTCTCTGTGTGTGTGTGACTGTGTGACTGCGTGAGCGGTGGTCTGTGTGACTGTGTGTGTGACTGTGTGAGTGGTGGTCTGTGTGTGAGACTGTGACTGTGTGAATGTGTGACTGTGATCGGTGGTTTCTCTGTGTGTGTGTGTGGCTGTGTGACTGCGTGAGTGGTGGTCTGTGTGTGTGAATGTGTAACTGTGTGTGTGACTGTGTGAGTGGTGGTCTGTGTGTGTGTGAATGTGGCTGTGAGACTGTGGCTCTGTGTGTTTCTGTGTGACTCTCTGTGTATCTTTATGCCTGGGGCAGTGTGTGTGCGTGCGCGTGTATTTCGGTGTCTCACCGTGTGTGTGTGTGATCTGTATGTAACTAACCTATGAAGAACGCACGTGTTATGTAAGTTTGCTACGTGTGGTCGTGCTGCGTGTGTGATCACAATGCACTCGAGTCGAGGGATAGAGGCAGCAAGCCAACCAACTCGCATAGATATCAAAGCGAGGCTTCGGTCGGGAGGGATGTGAGTGATTACTCGTTGGGGAGTGATGTTTATAGGGGCTGGGCGACCTGTGAGTGGGTGTGTGTGTGAGTGTCTGTAGGGGGGGAGCGGTGGGTGTAGTGGTTAGCGCTACGCTGCGCTAAGAACCCGGTGGCCCGCGTTCGATTCCCGCTCACGGCCAACACCCAGTGACGATTATCTGAACCGGTCCTGGGCCTCCCCTAGGTCGACTCAGCCTCAAATTAGTACCCGGCGCGGTGTGTAAACATTGCCACTGGGGAGACAAAGGCGGCCGGCAGTGTGCTGGCCACCCACCCCCTCGTGTGC